ATTTAAAAATAGTTAAATATATAAATTTGAACTAATAATATTTACAGAAATATATTCAATGGAATTTGTATACTTTAAATGCACCTCTTGAAAATGTCAAGAAAATGGTTTATGTTCTTAAAGTTAATATACGAGTACCTACAACAAATAGAAGTACAGTTATTAAACTTAAGTCACTTATATTTTAGAAAAATTATTTCAAGTGGAAGTTGGAAGTTGGAACAAATGTAAAAAACATGTTTTAATAAAAAAATGTAGGCGTATGGATACACATTGTATAAATTATAGATAAAGCAACTTTTATTAGCTTGGAACAGCGTTCGGTAAAAAAATCCATGATCACCCGACTATATTATATTAAGAGGCCTCTACATCAGTGTATTTTGGGTTAAAAACGACTCATTTTAATTTTAACATCTGTATTCTGAAAAGCGTCATCCGATTTGAAAACACATATAGATTTCAATTTGATTGTAAAAGTCATAAAAACACTTACACAATTAATCGGAAATAATTTTAAAATTGCGCCACGATCGATACCTTGTAAATGTTATGAATAATGTTTTTTTTTTTTTTTTTTTACTGAAATCAAAGTATTTTTTATGACTATGCTGTTCGAAGTAGAAAAAAATGTTTTTACATAAAAATAAAGCCTGTACGCGTTATTCAAGTTGAAAAAATAGGAAAAGATATATACTGTCAACATTGATCCCTCTTTCCTGTGTTAGTACATAGTATAATATTATATGTTTAGCTTAATGTTAGGTTTTAGTGTAAAATTGCCTATACAATGCGCCTTAACAAAATGCTAGTGAGAGGCCCCTTAATATTTTTAATACCAAAAGCACGCCTTCGAATTTAAATACTATTCGCAGGGGTTCCCATGGGAGCAGCACGCCGGCTCGGCCGCAGTCTCCACTCTTTGGGAATCCCTTTGTCGGCGGCGCGCGGACCGTTCGGCCGATCAATAAAACCCGCGGCCGGTGTGCCACAGCCGGCGGTCCTGGACGACACGATCCAAAGCACACGCCTGTGACGCCAATAAACATTGCGGCCGTCGTTGTCAATTATCATTGTTGCTCGGTCGTGTCGCGTCTAGTGCGGTCGTTTTGAAAACAAAAAAAAGGTACAAAAACACTTTAACTCATAACTCGGTTTTTGTTTTTGAAAATAGTTTTTTTATTTTCGAGTAGTATTTAAGTTTTTGGTCGATTCGCCCCTTCCTACCGGTACAGCGTTTTGGACTACCCACCGTTCACAATGCCTTATCAACGAGGGAAAACATGGGTTTACAAAGTATGCGGTTTGATTATTTTTTGTTTGACAATTTTTTTATACTTATAATAATCGTCAATGGACAGCTAATATGCGAGCTTTTTACCAATTTTGGGTCTTGGGAAGTAAAGTAATTAATACCGGGGTTGTCATAGTAACGAGAAATAATCAGAAAAAAGGCTGGGCTGATAATATGATAGGAGACTCACCTTAAGAATTTTTTTTTCATTGAAATACAACATTTATTTTATAAGGGAAAATTATGTAGTTCTGTCTACTATAATAATGGTTAATTTATTAGGACACTAGTACTAGGACCTAACTGTACATTTTATTACATTGTGCTTCGTAAATATTTTTAGTACATTGATGTCTCTATTTTTACTACATATTTTTCCGTCTACTTTAATAATTAAAAAAAATATATTAAAAACCAATAATATTATTTGTAACATACCTAATCAATACTGTAGCTCAATGTTAAAGTTATTATAGTTACATTAAATGAGATATAAAATTTGAAAAATGTAGTTATGTATTTTATTATCTATGACCGCATTCGTTTTTTGTTCAAACTTATAAGCATTGATGCTATATTTAATGTACTACTCAATAATAATAATTATATTACACCACTTAACGATACTTATAAATCCAAGTTGCAATATGGCCATAGGTGAGGTCTCCACACTAGATTACTTATTAAAATTAATTTTAAAATTGTCACGCACCACCAGAGAAAAAAATGTAAACAACAAATACAGATAATTAATCGTAATCACAAGTATGGAAATTCTTTAAATGTAGTGTTGTTGATCAATGTCAATGTAGGTAATAATAATTTCCCAAACATAAATAAGTTGCTATCGCCAAGAATTAATTCCGTTTAAACCTGAGTAAGAAAAATATAACGACACTTTGTTTGTCATGTAGTGCGTGTACTTGGAATTTGTTTAACATATCAAAAATAAACTTGTCCAAGACTGCTTGGTTATTAGTACATCGATGGTAGTGTGCTCAGGTGTAATCAGTGTATTTTTTTCAGAAAAATAGAAAATAGTTGATAATTATTATTTAGAATCATAATATTATGTAAAATTATATATTTGTTTATTGCACGTATAAAGTTATTTTTTTATACTTTTTTAAACAATTATGTTAATTGATATTGTATTTTATACACAGTTTTATCAATGACATTATTTTGATAACACTTTCTCATCAAATGATGGCGAATCTTGATGAATTATGAAAAAAAAAAAGTATTTTCCCTAAACTGTTGTAGAAACAATACAATATAATATTATGTTCATACCGCGGTTGTTGTTTTTTAGCACTATTCGGCATCATGATAATTCTTATCTTGCAATCATAGGTACGACGAAATGATAAAATCCAATACGTGACCTATAGTTTATTTGGAGATAGCAATAACAATAATGATGTACCTACTATCTAACAGTTATGACCGTGACAAATTGAAAAGTATAAAAAACACAGCAACAGGTACGACGAAAAACGGAAATATTATTGTTAGGCGTGTCACTAGGGCGAACATATTGTAATATAGAGCTGTTACAACATCCGTTATAATTAAATATGCCACTGTAATCTGTCCAGAAATTCTCAGGCAAATAAAATAATATAGTCTGTTTATTTAATATTTTGTATTGAACAAACGGCATTACTTATTGTATGCATACGGATGGATAACTGATAATTCGGCCTGTGGGGTAATGACATAGGTCCTAAGCAGAGTCCTAAGTTTATTATATGTTTTTATTTTTGTTATTGAGAAAAACAATAAATTGAACTCCCATCAATCTGTTTAATGAACTATCTAGTTGGTAGACAATAAAAAAAAGATATATACTCTGTTCTATCATTAAAATATAATTCTCGTAACAATAAGTTATGTACACATCAAAATCGAATATTAAAAAAAAATTGTTTTTCAAATAAAATGTGAAATATACAGAAAATATAGGTACATCTCTGCGTTATTCGTTATTACTTTTTTGTAGTAAAGACTATAAACCATGTAATTACTTAAGGGCTTATAATGGTTATTGTAGCGTAACACGGAATACTATAAAAGCATATTATTCATTGCACGAAAATTAACGTGCGTGACACGGAAGAAGACATATTATTATTTAAATGATAGTAATGAGTAATCGAGTGCGAACGGTCTTCAAATTCAATAACTTGTCTAAGCGATCGGTTTAAAAAAGAACTGACGAATTCCAATTAGTTACAATCGAAAATATAAGCAATTTATAGCTAATATTATAGCTAGATATTTGTTCTGGGTTCGGGAAATAACATTTCTGCATAAAGCCACCAAAAAATATTTTCTATTAACTAGATCTTAAAAAAAAAAATGGTTTGTCTGGTTCTAAACCGGTTAATAATGTATGTTACCAATATAATTGTAAAGGATTAGAATGAACTTTACATCAACACCTACATAACATGGTCTGCAGTTTAGTACTTCTTTAGTGAAAGATATTTTTAATTTATAACTTTTCCTATTTAGCTATCTTATGTTATATTTTTTTGTGTAAAAAAAGTGAAAACATTTTTTTGGTAAATTAATGTGCAGCAATTAATGTAATATGCGTAAATAATAATGACGACTTTAAAATATATTTTATTTCGAACTAAATTTGAAAAAAAAATTAATTAATAATGATAACAACAAACATGGATCATAATATATTTTTACAAAATATACATGGCAATAAAAACTTATGTTTGTTAATTTTATAAGATTTTTCTCACTTAATCGAAATTTGGCTTTAGGTGTTGAGCCACAAGTTTTAAGTATACTAAGAAATATACGGTTTTTTAAAGTAATTCACAAAGACGAGATAAGAAATAAGAATTCAAACAATAACATCTTAAACAACTGTTGACAAACTGTTGATTACATGTTAGACCACCGGGACATCCAAATTATTCTGAATACGTCTTTGCATATGCTTAAAATGTTGAAAATTATTCATTTAAATTATCTAGTGTGTCATACTTAGGCAATCTTAACGAAACATTTGTGTTGTTAATAATTTATTTTCTGACAAAAAACGCCACGATAAACTATATAAACAATATTAAAATGTAAACCGTAATAAATATAGTTTTAAATATTATTATTCCATTTTACATTGTGAGTGGGTTGTAATAAAAATACGTACCGTAGTTGTTTAGTCGTCGAACATCAATTGAATGACAATGCAGTTAATTAATTATTATAAGTGTTGTCTTCGGCTAGTGCACTCAAAAGAACTCGGTTTGTAAATGAACCCGTCTGTATAATTGTTTGAACGGCCTAAGGTGTTTATAGCGCTAACTCGGCGAGTTAATTACTCCATCATTACAATGTAAACTACTTTTTAGGTTTTAGCCAGTTTTTATAAGGTTTTTTTTTTATTACTGCATTCTAGTTGAATAATTATTGCCGCCTTAGTCCGAGGGAAAAATTAACCTTCTATAGAGGAAAATAAAAAATAAATATAATATATATATATTCTAAATAAGAGTGATAATAATGTCACCAGACGGGTTTTGGATAATTTTTTGGTTTTTATTTTAGTTAGAGTGCAAAACAAATGCTTGTACTTTGTTCGCCAGCAGTTAAATTGTATGTGTGTGTGTGTAATATTATTATATCGCTTAAACTTTGTTGATTGACCGTAAACAAAATGTTTGTTTGAATGGTAAAGATCGGAGAACGCGGATCCGGTTTTCGACCCAAGGCCGGTGAAGTCCAGGACTTTGAGGTACTCAGAGACCAGTGCCTCCAGCAAGGGGCGCTTTTCGAAGATCCGGATTTCGACACAGTGGATTCGTCCATCTTCTACAGTAGACGACCTGACAAGTCGTTCGAATGGCGCAGACCCAACGAGATCGCCAACAACCCTCAACTGTTCATAGAAGGAGCTACCAGGTTCGACGTCAAGCAAGGAGAGCTCGGTGAGTGCAAATCACGAATCAACCGTTATCCAAAATATAATGTCCACCGGATTAGGTATTTAAAAGAAATCCTAAGCCGAAAAAACACCGAGAAAAAATAACGTTAATAAATTAATTTAAAAATTGACAGTAAATTTAACATTACAATAATATTTTCGGCACTTTTTCAAATACTGTTACAGTTACGCTTAAGCGCAAATGGTCTAAATAATATATTATTTGCATAATAGTTATCATTATTTCATATAATAATGTATATCTGCCTTTTCATAATATTAATAAAATAATATAGTCTTTGGATGTGTGTCAGAAGTTTTGTTTTAAAATTTTAATAGGCTTAAAGTTGTTTTGGGGGAAGTTTAAGCCCTAAACCTCCAAAGCTATTTTCTCCTCTATTTGCGCTAAAGCGAATAATTTAAATTACTTAAACCATTTTTATTTACATTCTTAAAATGTTGACCGTTATTATTTGCACACCGATGAACACTGTTCAAAAACATTTTTTTACCATTTAAATGTTGCAGTTATCAAACCATATTTTAGAATATTTCCATTTTATTTTACGCTTTGCCTTTATGTTCGTTTAGATAAGTTTGTACAATAGTATAAATTAAAAAAACTCCATTAACTAAAGAATAAAAATGAACTTTTTTAGCATAACATAGAAGTAATTTATCAGGAAGGAGTCAGTTAATTTTTAAATGTGTTAAAATTGTATATTTGTTACTGTTAGATATCGGGTTGTGTAAAAAATATCATGATTCGTGCTACAGTACTGTTTTAAAAATGCCTATGCCAACAAAGTGAGTGAGTTCTAAAACGTTAAAATTGTTATAGTAAACATTTTACTATCATCGTTTTTTCTCGCAGCCCTTGGTTTACAATATATATTATTGTAGTGTATACAAATTTCATCAGTGAATAATAAAAACTAATTATAATAAACAATGCTTAACATAAACCAATTAAGGGATTTTAAATATGTGGACTTATTCAATAGTATAATTTGTTTATACTAGAAAAAACCTTTATGAGGACTATAATGCTTATGACTTTTAATTTTTATTCACTCAAAACATTTTACATTACAAATAACAATAACTCGGTTCGATAGGCGATTGCTGGCTGCTGGCTGCTGTAGCGAATCTGACGCTAAACGACAAGCTGTTCAACCAGGTAGTGCCCAACGACCAGAGCTTTGGCAACAAGTATGCAGGCATATTTCACTTTAGGTTCTGGCAGTATGGAAGATGGGTCGACGTGGTCGTGGACGACCGTTTGCCCACTTACAACGGCCAACTGGTGTTCCTCAGGTCGGCTACGGAGAACGAATTCTGGAGCGCTCTTCTGGAAAAAGCCTATGCCAAGTAAAATATAATCGCATAGATTTTTGTTTAGTAATGTCTTCAGCTTTTAACTTGATTGTGTGTGTTGTTGACATTAGACTTCATGGATCATACGAAGCGTTGAAAGGAGGCAGCACGTGCGAAGCAATGGAAGACTTCACCGGAGGTGTATCAGAAATGTTCGAGCTCAACGAAGCGCCGCCCAATCTGTTTACAATCATGTTACACGCCTTTCAGAGGTTTTCATTGATGGGATGCTCTATCGAGGTAACCGCCAGCTGTTAAATCAACTCAGTAAATTGGCTCATGATCTTGTTACACAATTATTTTCCGTCGACTGCAGTTATTTATCATCTTCTCTATGATCCTCTGTGTGTTTTATGCATTAAACGTGCTGTTGTTTTCGTTGTCAGGCTGACCCGTCGGTCACCGAAATGGAAACGCCTCAAGGACTGGTGAAAGGCCATGCTTACAGTATCACCAGAGTCACATACGTGGACATAACTACTCCGAATACCACTGGGCAGATCCCATTACTCAGGCTCCGAAACCCTTGGGGTAATGAAGCCGAATGGAACGGACCGTGGAGCGACAAGTGAGTGCTTTTGTTGTCGCAATTTTTTCGGACTAAGCATATAAATCTTAGATCATGAAGAAGTGAGCTGATAATGCCATGATGGATGAGTGGAGTGACTAGAGATGATAGAACAAGAAACGAATACATAAGAGGGAGTCAAGGAGTTACATCAACTGTGAGAAAAATGAGAGAGAATAGGTTGAGATGGTTCGGTCATGTTATGAGGAGATATGAGGCAGAGGCAGTGAGAGTTGTTATGAATATAAATGTAGAGGGGGAAAAGAGGAAGACCGAAGAAAAGATGGATAGACGGAATAGAAAGTGATATGAGGATAGCTGGAGTGATTGAACGAGATGTAGAATATCAAGCTCTATGGAGGTGTTAGCCTAGGGTGGCCGACTCCATGTCATGCAAAGATGAAGAAAAATAAGAAAATCATGGAAATGTGAGCTGTTGAGACTTGTGGTCAGTATGTAATAGAATCTAGGAATATCCTGTGATCTGCCGAAATGTATCGGATGCATATTTTAAATTTTAACTTACTACATACGACGATTGTTTACAGATCGCCCGAATGGAGGTTCATTTCGGAATCGGACAAGCGATCGTTGGGACTGACGTTTGACGCGGACGGTGAGTTTTGGATGTCGTACAAAGACTTTGTCAAGTATTTTTCGCGTTTGGAAATTTGCAATTTGAATCCTGACCTGCTAACCAAGGAACACATGGGTGACGACCCGAAGAAGAGATGGGAAATGAGCGTTTTTGAAGGCGAATGGGTAAGAGGCGCCACGGCCGGAGGTTGCCGTAATTTCCTGGGTAAGTACATGGATTGTGCCAAGTACTGACGTACTTATCCCCAATGTTATTAGACACTAATGTAGAGGTTTTGTTCGTCGCGTTTCAGATACTTTTGCGAACAATCCACAGTATAGGATCACGTTGGACGATCCGGACGACGACGATGACCAGCACAAGTGTACGGCCATCATTGCACTTATGCAAAAGAACCGACGAGCCATGCGCAAGACTGGAGCCGAGTGTTTAACCATCGGTTTTGCTGTCTATCAGGTTAATTAACGAAAATCAAAACTTAGTTATTTTCTCCGTTTCACGGAAAAACATAAAGCGTATTTTCGCGGTGCTACCGAAAGCAAACGTGTTGACTGATATGTACTGAAAATGTTTAGATTGATAAGCATTGTTTATTTATCGCTAAAATGATTTTGCATCATCATAGGTACCAAATATTCCAAATTGTTGGAAAAGCTGTTTACTGTTAGGAGCAAACATTTTATCTAACAGTAAACAATTTTGACTTTAAAACATCGCCAAAACTGTTATCAGCGGTTTGCTGACGGTTTGTTTGCTTTCGGTACCTCCGCAAAAATAAACTTATTGATTCTTGAGTGTTATCTCTTATCACATAGCTTGTGTCTCCTATATCTTATCTCGTATCTCTTGTCATTTGTCTCTTGTCTCTTAATATTTTAAAAATATTATGGAATATTGTTACTCTAAAGTGGCGACATGAAATTTCTTGTATCCAGCCCAATAACATATGCATGTTAAAATGCCTACTTATAGCCAATACCTTATATGAAGTTTGACTGGTAAACTTATAATCTAACCAACACAGCTCACCAACCCGGACTCATTGCCGAAGCCCTTGGACGTGAATTTCTTCAAATACAACGCGTCCGTCGCCAGAAGTCCCACGTTCATAAACCTCAGGGAAGTTAGCAGTCGATTCAGTCTTCCTCCCGGCGATTATTGCATAGTGCCTTCGACGTTCGACCCCAACGAACAGGGTGAATTCTTACTCAGGGTATTCTCCGAACACAAGAACAACATGGAGTTAGTAGTGCCCACCGTTATATTTTACGAATTTGGTTTTTTGTTTTTGTAATGCTTAAATTTATTTTGTATTACAGGGAACTCGACGACAATATCGGTATAGGCGAAATCGATATCAAGGTAAACGATAGCACCATATTAGAAAACCGTCCGGTTAGGTTTCGTTAAAACGTCATGCATTTTATTTTTTAATTTTCAGATAAAAGAAAAAGAACCAGAACCGGCCAAGATCGATGCGGCCAACGAAAAGATCAAAGAGTTCTTCCTCAAACTGGCCGGTGACGATCAAGAAGTCGACTGGATGGAACTCAAAGAAATTTTGGACTACGCCATGCGAAACGGTTGGTTTGGCCGGTTTTTGTGGTTTTGTACTTGCTCAATGAATAACTTACCTGTATATTGACTTCATCAATTATTTTTTATCGATCTGCTAGCGTGGCGGTAATTAATTGATAATGTACAAACTTTGTCCTCAGAAGTGCGATCATTAATTAATTATTCCGCGTATTTCCACACATTAATTATTCCACGTGGGCTAGACGTTTGTGATTTAGATTTTAAAAATTCATTATAACTCGACGATTGCTTTTGTACGACGAACTTCGAAGTCAGAACGGTAAATTAACGTGTCTAGATTTTTTCTTGGTTAATCAATAACAACTACCTAGTTTTTAGAGGAAACCCAGTTTTGCATAAAATACTAACACGAACGAACTTAGCGGCCGGTTTCGAGCTCTTCTCTTTTATTTTAAAGAAGTATAAGTACAAGTAAAATGGAATGGGTCCATTTTTTGTCGTAGGCAACTGTTAGAATAGGTTTAGTTTATTTTCCAAACATAATCATAACATTTAACTATCATACAAGTGTCTTTAACTGCATATCTGAAAATTTGCTGTTTACTTGAATGGAAATTCAGACTACGTTTCAACAAATTTCAAACAATTTGTTTTATCTAGACCCTATACCTTTTCTTACGACAAACGTGTGCAGTTAAAGTCGTTGAGTTGTCTTTCTATAGCTGTATGAAAAATAAGATATTATTATCATATATTATTTCTACTAACCCACGTACGTTTGTTTGAAAAATATTTGTGTATTTGCATTTTTTTTCTCCTTAAAATAAAAAAAATATATAGTTTGTTACTCTAGCGCAAGTATACCATACTTAACCTGTAATAATACCATTTGCTGCGCTTGAGTTTGTACCTAGACTAACATAGTTGCCATTTGTAGATGTCGCAAGCACTACGACAGCATCAGATAATGTCGTTGTCAACTTACTACAAACTTTCTGTCAGGCTTTCTGTCAGAACACGGCCTTAGGGGCGACTTTCAGTGAGTACTACACTAATAATAATATTTTTATTATTCCACACAATTGCCACTTGTACAGTTGTATCTAAAGCTTGGCCAAGGCGAAGCTAGCTATTATTGTCTATATTACGAGTAGTAGTTTTGATTATAACATCGGACTCGTCGATACTTTTCAGACATGGAAAAAGCAGGATTTTCCAAAGACGTGTGCCGCAGCATGATCGCCATGTTGGATTGGGACCGGTCCGGAAAATTAGGATTCGATGAGTTCAAAACGCTGTGGGTTGACATCAGACAGTGGAAGGTAACGACGATGGAGTTTGGGCAATAGTTTGCATAGTATTTATTATAGCATTACGAACCGTAACACACAACCTTTTCTTTTTGTCTCGGTCACTTGTAGTTGGTGTTCAAAATGTATGACAAAGAAAGCAAGGGCTACATCAGCGGGTTTGACATGAGACAAGCGTTGAACTCGGTCGGTTACCATCTCAACTCGCACATTCTGAACATATTGTGCCATCGGTACGCCACTAAGGACGGTACCATTATGTTCGACGACTTCATCATGTGCGCCGTACGACTCAAGACTATGATTGGTCAGTATCAAGACTCGTGTAGATAGAATCATGACTTGAGAGCGGAGTTTTAGATTTTAAAAAAGTTCAAAATATAGTGCATCACTATTAAAACCATAAAATATCCTCTTAACACGTTCACTGTCCTAATGTTAAATTAAATCAAAAGTTATCAGTCCTATGATCCATATATGGGTCACGTTAAACCTATTTTAGTAGTCCATGATCCATATGTGGTTCATTTTAAACATTTATTTCTCTGGAGATTTATTTGTATGGACTATGTTTTATGAAATTCATAATAACACAGTTGGACAGGTGAGATGATAGGGACTTAATTAATGAATTAGGGACTTATCTATAAATAAATCATGAACCACATAGGGGTCATCGGACAGTGAACGTTCCATTCAAAACCCGAAAAATATGATAAAAAAAATATCAAAATCTGAAAATAATCTGCAAATGTTTTTAACAAGTTCTCTGATCAATAAATTGTCCCCATTTTCAACCCGTAGAGCTGCATAAATCCAATAAATATGTGATAGTACTCGTATGTGAAAACCTAAACATTTTTTATCTAAATACATATATTTATGTAACGAAAAAGTATCAAATATATAATTATTTAATTGAAACATCTAATAACTTTTTCTTTTGTAAATGTAGTTACTTTTTAATTTTTCTCTATAGTAAAATTTTATCAAGCATTTTCGGTTGATATACGGTTTTGGTCTAAAGTTGTAAGCGGTTAGGTGTTAGTAATAACACTAATGGCATAAGCATAAAAGTTATAAGAATAAATTCGACTGTTAATAACATCTCTATATATAAAACCAAATCTTTATATTGGTTGTATTTAAAAATAACCTTAAAATTCCACCATGTTTCATCTAATATTATTAACATTTATTTATTTTCGTCAAACAAAGCTAAAACTCACCATATAACTGTGCCATTAGTGTGTAATAAATCTTTTATTTTTGGGCAGCGTTTGATAATCATTTTAACTTAAACGACTTCACGACTTAAAACTAACTAATGGTAAATCTTGTTTGTTTAGATATGTTCAAGGAACGCGATCCAGACAACAAGAACGTGGCTTCGTTCTCGCTCGAGGAATGGGTCGAAAAAACATTGTATTCATAAGAAAATCTATCAAACGCTTCCGATGCCTTAAAAAAAATGATCTGAAAATGATTATTTTATTTATTTTTAAACGAAAGAAAAACAATATCTTTATTATTAGTTATAGATCTTAATTATATATTGTGTATTGTAAGTTAGGTACGTTAAATGTTTGTCGACCGATTTTAAAGCTAACCGCAGTTGTTGTGTTAGCTTTGCAAGGAAGACTTGAACGGTCTATTTATTATTATTATTATTATTATTATCATACACATATTCCTATTTTATGTTTTTTTTTAAGTACTGCCTGGTCTGTTACTATACTCGATTACTATTATTGGTGCTCCAGGGAATTAATAACGTTTAAGTAACCAAAGAGTATTTTTTCGATTTGTCCAATTTCAAGTAAATATATCATCCTAACTAATATGACAGGGTCATTTTGGAATTCACGCACATAATATGAACGCCAAAAATGTTTGATATCATAAACATATTTTGTTTGACAGTGGTTATTTTCAGAAATTCGAAACGGGTAAAACAAAACAAACGTGTTGTACTATGATTATAATAAATGTTATTTGCTCCAAAAAATTATAACTTTTAAGATTGTCGAGTCAAGAATAATTAATATTAATATTCTAAATCTAGCAGCTAGTTTTTTACATTTATAATACAATATATTTTTTTTTCTTACATTGAATACCTACGCTTAAATTTAATATAATAGATTATAGTATATAATTTTTAACTTTCTGTCTCATTATTTAAATATTATTTCAACGTGGCGTCTTTAAATAATACTGTGTTCATTTTTGGAAATTACCTACTTAGTTAACCTTAATTGTATCAAAACGACAAACTAGGAACAGAGTACAAACTCATTTACTGAATATCTGTTGTCCTATAGTAATAATTAATGTTCTTATTGAATTTGTACAATTATCTTAAGAGTTAAATTACCTATATTATATATGCTATGTTAATTTATAGTTGTAATGTTTTTACTCCATTTTATAGTATTTATTTTGGTTGACAATTATATGTTTACAACTATTATAGTGTATTGGTCATATTTTTATTTCTATGTTTGGTTCAGTGTATGTCTGCGACAATGATTGTTTAAAAAGTTATATATATGTATTGTGTACTATGACTTTGTTTAAACTGCTTAATAGTATTTTGTTTCTCGGTAAAATTGACTTTTTATTAATGTTGAATTGTCTACTTAAGACTCGAATTTTGAGTTGTATTAAAAATTCTGTTTGCTTTCAAAAAGTCAAAAATACAATTATCATAGCAATACAATTCTTAACAAATAAAACGTTGAGCGCACAAAGGTTCGATTACATGTTTAATCTATAGAAACTCGATGTATGGATTGTTAATTGACAACACAAGTACTAAGTAGTGCATGTTTGTGCAAACAAGGGGGCTCAAACAATCTAAAAACTAGGAAAATTCTATAATCGTGAAATTCTGTTTTGAAAATTGTCTTAAACACATTTATTTAACCTTTCAATATTGCATTCGAATGACAACTTTATTCTGGTTTACGGCCTCATTTTCGAAGGGATAGGCAACTAAAAATACACAACAAATATAATAAATAGTATTGTACTATTATTTTCCTCAAAAATTTGTTTATAATATGGTTAGTAATTAGATATTTCATAAAATATATACACATTTAAAATATTTGGCGAATACGGTTTAGGTCAAACTTACAGGTTTGAATATTAGACAATAACTACACCACTAATGTACGAAGACCTTGCAAAGAGAAAATGCAAACAAAGTTTGTGGTTTAAACAATTATTGTTTAAAAATAGTTAACTATTTTTTTTTGTAAATCACAAGAACAGATGTAACTAATAGAACTCTATGTGTTCTCTAGGGTACTGTGTATATTTATAAAACATAAACTTAATTTTTGAATTTTTTTTTATCGGTCCAATTTGCAGACGCCGAAAAATAACATTTCAACCCAACATGTAACTTGAGTACACGCGATTTTTGATATTTATGAGGAAACCTAAACGGTTATTGAAAAGTATGAAATGTGAGTCAAGACAAAAACAAGTATAAATATTCTAAAAGCATGTAATGGCTTAGTGAAAAAAAATACTTTTATTGAACGTAATAGATAGCATTAAATAAGAAAGGTTATTTTAAAATTTCCATTACAAAGTCCCGTGGAGCCAACTTATAAATACATAGCTGATACCTTATCGGCTTTGTGTCAAAGTAAAAAGTTAAAATAATACACAAAGAGTCTTAACAACAGCTATGAGATATTTTTAATTTTTTCAATTTTGTATTTAATAATTGATAATATTATGTTCTTTATGAATTCGAATACTGGGATTATCGGACTCAGGTTTTAGTAGCTGAATTCGGTGAATTTCTAGTACTACGCTAATTATTTTGCAACTTGTTTTACTTAACAATTATAAGCTATTTAACAAACTCTCACTATGTACGCGGCATGGTTTTTAATTTTTTTTTCTTCGAATAAGAGCGTTATGAAATAATCAAACGTTTTAACCAAGCTGTAAATAATTTATACGTCAACATTAAAAGAAAAAAAAAAGGAAGCCAATTTCTCATTCTATTTCGACCGACTTGAAATAATAATTAACGTTCTTGGTATTCAAATCAAGGTAATGTTTTATTCAATTATTTGATTTCACGAAGTCTACAATAACATCATGAAGCTTATTTCGCTCTGCTTATTTCTTGTCAATAATAAAATAACCCGATTATTCAAAAGTGGGTTACGTAGAATAATAAAATAATGAAAACGTTTAACAAAAACATTTTTTAGTATTAACTTGCACTATTAAAAGGATATTATTTTCCATTATTAAACTATAGGTAGTTAGTTTGCAAGGTGTTTTTTTTATTTGTCTGAAATTTCACCGAAATTTATCCGCGCTAATTTTTTACTTGATTTATTTTTTTATTGAAAACGTTTTTACCAAAATCACTATAAACTTCTCGTGGTTTATTGTGTAGAGTTTTGACGCGTTCAAGTTTGAATTGTATCCAATATATCTAAGTTTTAAATAGTTTATGTGTTTCCAGTAGTTTCCGCTGCGAAACCGTTCAAACTGGTACATTTAAAATGTATATAAAATGAGTCTTTAAGGTAAAATCTAACTTGGCTGCTTAAGATTTTCCAAATGAACTCACAAACGTGCCGCACTCTCTGGCGTGACTGTTTAGAACAATGCAATGTTGACTTTGGAGTAAGTCTTATATTATTGCAATGTACAATACACACACATATATATATATTGGATAAAATAAATTCCTGCATAGGTACCTATATTATAAACTGTTATTAAGAGTTAAAGACAGCCAACCGTTTCATGGTAAAGTTTTAACATTAAGCTATGCAAATGTGAAATGCAAAACCGTTACAATTCTAAATTTGGTTGTTGAAACGACACAATATTATTTTTATTTCACTATATAAAAGTTCCAACATAACAAGACTAACTCGTACTCGTATCCAAAACAGTTTCACAATTTGCAAACAACCGACACAATTAAGTGCTAAACTCTGTTTTGCCATTTAAAAGCTCATTCATTATTAAGGAAAACAATTATAGTTTTTACACATATTTTCGGGTCCTTTTTCTTCTCAAAAATTGATCAAATTTAATTTTAGGGTAACCTATTGATATCGTTTTTTCAAGTATGTAAAAATGTAAATATCCCACCTAACCTTACCACTACTACTGTGGTTGGGTGAAGTGCGGTTGGGAAAGCGCGCAGATAAAAATAATACTACACTCCACCTTTTCTCCTGCCCTAAACTTGAAATTTCGATAACTTCAAAAATTGTTATCCGAAACTGGTTATCGACCAGTCAAAATTCTAATACATTATTCTCAATTTAAAAAGTTAATAAAATATATACGTTACCACTTAAGTTTCAAAAGTAGCTATCAAAAAAACTACGTTGGGAGGGGGGTAAAAACAAAAAAAAATGTGAAAAAATTGAGATCACGTTTTATTAAAACAATATGAAAAAAAAATGTAATTTCTTATTAAACCCTATGAGATATTGAGTGGTTCACGATAAGTGGATCACCCTGTATATATATATATATATATATATTAGATTATTTATCTAATAATCGTAGATTTATTTTTAGCAGCGCGCGTTACCTACCTTTCAAATAATTATATTTTGAACGGATGAATAAAAATCCAAATTTTTTTCGCCAATTCTTTTTTAAAAATTATTTTGAACAAAATGGCTATCTCGAAAAAAAAATATGTAATAAAAAAAAAAAAACTATTAAAAAAAGTAAAACAGGTAAGTGCAAAAAAAAACACGGTGCTTATAGCGCAAATGAGTAAAAATTATTTTTAAAAAAAAAATCTCAAAAATATTCACTAGAACAAAAGTCATTTCATTTGTCAAACCTTTGTGGGCCACCCTGTATAAATACACAATTTCTTTGTTTCAAAACAATTAAAAACTGCGATTTCTCTAATGAGACAATCACAATGACATAATGTCAATTTGACATTTGACATTTATCGGCTACGCGTCGACCTCAACGTGTTAAGTATTTTTTTATTTGAACTCCTTACATCGCCGTACAAGGAACAGTATTAAAACGTATTGATTCAACAAATCATTTTAAATAAAATAATTCTAAGGACGCATCTGAATTGAGAATATAATTCTAATTAAAAATGATGTGTCACTTGCCATTTGTTGGTATCGGTCACATGCCGGCCACTCAGTGGCCACTCGGTGGACGCAAATGGGACCAGATACCAAAAAATCATGTTACATATCGATTCAACAAGATTTTTTCTCCCGATTTTAAATCTGAAGTTTAGTTTTTTTGTAACACAATTTTTTAACGAGGTACGAGTTCTATATTAAATAATTTTTAAATAAAAAAAAAATGAATACCATTTATTGCACCCATAGAGCATCCTGAATGTCTCATTTGAAGCTCGGTAGAACTTTGCATTACACCCTGTATATATACCTATAAACTGATATGGTTTTATTTAGTTAAAATCCTAAGTATTATTTTCTAGTTTTATCTTAAGCCCCCCCAAAAAAAATGAGTGCTTGATACGGCCATGTAGTTGTCGACCTCTATATAACGTACCATAGCGGTCTTCTTCCATCTTTTATTATTTTATTTTTATTTTCAAGAAAATTCACGGCAGTTATGTTTACAGTTTGAATGTTTTTGAATTTTACAATGTTTCATATAAGTAGTCTTTCGGCCAAATAACTTTGTTTCGGTAGACTCGCAGCAGTTTGGAGTTCCGGTCGCCTCGGGCGGTGCAACAGTAAAACAACCGAGAGACAATTCGTATTTTATTATGTGCCCGGGTTTTTTGTTTGAAATTGTCTCAACCAGATTTTCGGTGCAAGTGTGGGTGTGTATAATATGTATACATATACATAAAATGGCAAAAAAAAAAAAAACGTTACGGGTAGCGTGCGAGAATGCAATACGGTTAGAGTGCTCGCCTTTGTGTCTACCATAAATTCACCGTACAAGATAACAATGTTAATAATTTAAAACTTTGAGTAACTGAAACGTCGCACTATCGCCGATGGTAGTTTACGATAATAAAACACAGAATGTTTTATTTATTTTCCCTCGTTCGCCTGATATACCTACCGTGTTCTTTGTAATTGTAGGACAAATCGCTTCAAACGGTGTACAGGATGATTATATATACACTGATTTTCTCTTGAAATAATCGAAATTTTGTATTTTTTCATATTTGAATACATTTTTTTGTTTATGTTATTTTACAGTGTTATACAATTTACTAAATATTTACCGGTTTTACTATTTTCCTAGGCCTTATCGATTTTTTTTTATTTATTATATTTTAATTGTTTCAACATAATCTTGTTTTTACAATATATTAATTAATAAGTTACATAATTAGGTAGGCATAATAGAGTAATAAAATAATTTATAAAATATTTTAATTTAGCAAATTGTACATAAATTATGAGTTGTTTTAATTAGGTCATTAATCTGATGATACCAATGATAAAGATGACGATGATGATTCTGGAGGTAGTAAGATATCTTGTGGGAGACGTGGCTTTAGTCGGCGGTTTTTGGTTCTTTTCCCAATTTTGAAGTGAAGGGCTCCTTCTATTGTGTTTAGTTTCGAATGAAATTTTTTAAATTGTTCATTTATCCATGTGGTTAGGTATGGTATTCCAGTGTCGTTGTGGAGTTGTGTGTTTCGCATATACCATGGGGCTTTAAGAGCTATTCTGAGAAATTTGTTTTGTATCGTTTGTAATTTTTGTTTGGGATGCGGCTGCCCATATTGGGCATGCATATGTTATTAAAGGTCTTATTATTGAAGTGTATTAGAAGTGAGCATTTGATCTGAAGTGTAGAGCTGTAATTAATTAGGGGATATAAGATTTTCAATCGTGTGTAGGCATGGTTTCATTTTTTATTTATGTGCATTTTCCATGTTAATTTTTCATCAAGGTAAACTCCAAGATATTTAATTGATTGATCTTTATTATTCCATAATATAGGCTGATTTTTGATTTTTAATTGAGGTGGATTTGTATATCTCTTTAAGGTAAATATTTTCGCTTTATCGATTTTAAAAAATTGAAACGGTAACGTATATTGCATGTAATTAACTTTTTGAATTGAGAATAATTTTCTGAAAATCTCGACTGGTCGATAACCATTTTTGCATATTTACTTTATTGTTAATTTAATGTTATTTAAGTTTCAAATTTAGGACCGGAGGAAGGGAAAGATTTAAGAATTAGGAAAATACTAAAACGAATAAATATTTAATAATGGCATACATTGTGTAATATGAAATTTGTTTATATTATCTTATATTGTAATATATCATAAGCTATTGTGTCTCCAAAAACTAAAAAATTTCGATCAATGAGAAAGTGAGTATTTTAGCCTTACTGAATTATTTTACTATACAGGGGATTTTTTTAAGTGATCCACTCAATATCTCATTGGGTTTAATTAGTATTAATTTTTTATTTTTTACAAGTGATCTCAGTTTTTCAAAAATTGCTGTTTTTGACACCCTTCAGAATTAATTATTATTTTATTAACATTTGTTACTTATATGTCTTTACATTTTTAGTACATTATTCTCAATTTAAAAAGTTAATAAAATATATTCATTACCATTTAAGTTTCAAAAGTTACTATCCAAAAAAACTAAGTTGAGAGGGGGTAAAAACAAAAAAAATTGTGAAAAATTAAGATCACGTTTTATAATAACATAAAAAAAAATTAAATTATTAATTAAACCCATTGAGATATTGACTGGTTCATGATGAAAGAATCACACTGTGTTTTATTAATTTTTTGAATATGAAATAATTAAATAAATATTTGGCTGGTCGAAACACCAGTTTTAGATAATTATTTGAATAAGTTAAAAGGTTAAAGCTTATGACTTAAGGAAGGGTGGAGTGTAGTTTTTTTTATTATTATCTGCGCGTTTAACTCTACGTAATAACTTTAAAAGTAACGACTCTTAATTGGTTGTCGACCATTTAAAGCTTTTATTAAATGATTCTTAATGTTTTTAATGATACCTACCAGAAAACCCTTTATTTTTTATCCAGTCTAAAATATTAGTGCTAAATATGAAAGTCTTGTCGTAGAAACGAGAAATGTAAACAAAAAATTACTTTTTGAGTGTTAAAAAAAGTTATCATAACATATTCTCATTAGTAACAAAAAGACAATAATATCGCCAAACGTTCAAAAGCAGAAGCACTTACTTTTCCGCAGCGACAACCTTTGAAACTTGAATTTTTTTGACTAATTGCCTAAATGCCACTACTACTGTAAACAGAGTCAGTGCAATATAAACCCCAAAAAGTATCTAACTTATCTAACTAATCTATGCCAAGTATTATTTATTTTGTTTTCATTTTTGTTTTTCAAGTATACACGGTTCTATCTGTCGTCGACTGTGGAGTATCCAAGGGAGATTTCAGATGTCGGTGGGATAATAATGTTTGGACTCTCCTTTAAAATTTTTCCAATATAACTAATGTGTACTGTAGATTAGCGTTGCCCTATTATACTGATAACGCCTGTGGTCCTCCGGGGAAAAGGGTGACTGATTCGAGTCGATTGAATCGAAAACATGTATCTACGTGACCGGCCTGTAAAGTGCCTCTAAAATGTTATAAAAGCCTTTTCAAATAATTATCCTAACTAATTTAAAAGCCTTATTTTAAAATGTAAAACGTCAATAAATATACTTTATCAGTTCCGCATCGAAGCCAAAAAAAAGATGTTTTATTATTATAAAAACAAAACCTAACAAACAAATTAATAAAAAATGTTTTGTATTCTGTTAGTTGTGTTGTTAAAAATGAATTGCTCGTAAAGAATTCTAATACGTAATTTGCCAACACAAGCTTTTAACTAATTGTATACTGTATAACATTTTCGAAAATTAATATTAAAAACAGTTATTTATTATATTATTAATTAAAAACTGGTTTTAAGAGTCAGATGGGGTTTCTATCCCAATTAATTAAAATGCACAGGTTAGGTTCTTAGTATCAACAAACATTTATTTAGCCAGTTGGCTAAAGTAATTAATTAATTTTTTTTTAAAGTTCTGGTAGCGATTATTATGTTAAAAGTTTCTTTTAATACTTCAGGTTAAAAGTTTCTGATCCACAGTAAATAATTTATAACTTTAATTAAAAAGTTTCAAAATGTTAGTTATTAAAAAAAAGTATTGAAAAATTATGAAACCAATAGCAATAATTATAATTAGACAGTACAGTTTTAACTTTTAGTTAATTTTGTTTTGATAGATTAGATTAAAAAACATGTTTAATATTATATTAACTAAATAATTTTAGTTGTTTGTTTAAATGTGGAGCTAACAACTTGTTGATTATAATGTGTTAAAATTTGTTCAAGATTGGAAGATAATAGAAATTTTTTAACTCGGTGGTATAAATACATAGTTGAACGCTCTAACTTTAAAAAACTGCTCGGGCTTCCTTAAAAACTGTCTGATAGTTTCAAATTTATTTAGTTATTAACCAACACCATAAAAACCATCTACCCTTATCTCTAGAGAGGGGTTGAATTCTCTGCTCTTCGCTTTTGGGAGGGCGGAATTTGGACTTGGGTTTTAAAGGTCGGACAATATATAAATAAAAATCTGTAGTACATTTTCGAGGAAAAAACAAAATATTAAACAACATTATAACGTGGACGCATGCATTGTTTATATAGTGGTCATATAGTATTTTCCATTGTCTTGTTCTTGTCGTTCGACTTCATCCCAAGTAGGTATTGCCACCCTTGTCAGCTGCCCTAAATCTCTACTCGACACAGTTTCGCACACCATCTTGGCATATACCTTCTCATATTAATTTTTTTTGTTGTTCCTCATGCTCTTTTAAGATAACAGAGGTTATAGGTTCGTTCGGTTACCCGTCGTCGTTTATAACTTAAAGCCCCACTTATCATCGACGAGTCTCTACCCTGTAACCGTATTAATTGTGTACTATTGTATATACATTTGTATTTCCCGTCGAAGACACGATGTGTAAAAATATTTTGATACTGAGCATTGTATTACTTTCAAATGAGTTCCCTTTAAAACATATATAATATTATTATTATTGTATTATATATTATTATTATTGCCACGTGGGATTTTTATGTTTTTGCCAGACTCTCCGTCGCCGTCGTAGTGTTATTACGCTGTTGTAATTGATACTATTCAAAATATATGTACATTTTTTATATTTATATTATATATATGTAAAAAAAAGTTAATATTTTATTATTATATCTGTGACGCTATATGAGCGCGATGGCGGCGGCTATGGATACTGTGTAAATGTGTAAGTGCGTAAGTGTGTGTACAATATTTTGTGTGTGGCGCGCGCGCTGGCCGAGAGGAACGGTCGGAGGCAGGCTGGCAGGCAACGAGACGGTGGAGATCAGCAGTAGCCCAACGCGCCCGGCACGGTTCGTCCGATCCCTGTCTGCGTTGCCTTCGTCTCGGAAAATTCGAACGTTTTTCACGTCGAAGTATTATACAAAAGTGTGTCCACTCGGATTTTTAGAAGAAAAAAAAAATTACCGAAGCTAAAAATCGACAGACCGCCGACTAATTGTTCACAGACTCAAAATTGTGTGCGCTTTTTCTTCTTCTTCGCTCTCTCTCTCTTTTTTCTAATTTTAATTTTTAATTTTTGCGTGCCCGTCGAACTTAGCCCTTTTTTGGATTGTCGACGAACCGACCGGCTTGAGTATGCGGTTTTCCAATCGTCGGGGTGCCGTCGGACCGGAGACCTATGCACGGATACACATACCGCGGCCGACACAGTCTCAAAAGTTTTCCAGGTAATTGATATTTGATAGATCAAAATCATAATAACGACTCGAGGACTGAAATTGTAGGGACACTTTCGCATGCATTTCCTAGGAGTGAATAAAATTACACAGAAATACAACATTTGTTTGCATTAATAACCACCCGAGGAAAAAAATTATTAATATTTCCGAATCGTTGTCCAAAAAGTTGTTGATATTTTTAATAACATAATAAAATCGTGTTTGAGTTTTTAACAGTTATTATTGTTAAACAAATAATAACTGTCAAATTGTTGGTTAATTATTATTAAAAACCATAGAAAGTATTATTACACTGTTTAAAATAACTATCTAAAACATTTGAAACATTTGTATAATATTCAACCTTAATTTAAAACGTATTATTAGCTGCAAAACACACAACTTAATAATGTTCTAAAGACATCAACCAACTTTTTAAAAACATTTGGACATTTGGAAAATACAAATAAGGAATGTATTATAGGAATAATATAAAATATAAATCAGGAAAATACCTATTCATTTTTTTATGCTGTCTATGTTTTTTAGAGCAACCTGTGACGCGACGAGTTCGCGGCATCGACATAAATTTAAGCCTTTTTAAAAATTTTAGTAAAAATACTACGTAGGACCTTCGACTATTAGATTACTGACAATTTTTTTGAAATCTTGTAGCCGGTCCCGTCTATTAATCCACGAGTTTGAAGGGTTGTAATTCGTACTGACATTGTCTGCTTTTGTATTAAATATAACAGTCACTACTAATATTGTATTTCATTTAGAAGACTTGCTTCATCCCTTCTGAAAATAAACATTAGTTGTACCACTATTGGATTATTATCTTTGGTTTACGAGGGTCGATATCATCCAATATAATACCATTAAATTTTGACACTATATATTTAATTACATATAAATTATCTATAAGTTCTTTATTATGCAGTAGGCACAAATAAAATAACTTGTACACAAAACAATCTCAACGGGAGTATAGTCTTACTCGATATCTACTTTTCATTTTTATAATACCGTTATAATATTAGTCTAATGTATGTGCATGCTTAATATAATTTGTTTTGCTTATTGTTGTTAAATTCGGTTAGAGTGTAAACAAATTGGACTTATGTATGTTAGACAGAAAACATACATTGTGTTTGCTTAATAAGATGTCGGGTAACGGATATGATTATATTTGATTACTCATTATTGTATTCATAACCGCAGTAATTGTTGAGACTTGCCAAGAGAAAAACGGTTTTCTATGTTTATTACAAAAATAGAACGTGTCGCATATTAATATTAGACCTTAACCTATACACTAGTATTGTAAAGAAAACATACGGTGCTCGATTATTAAACCCCCTTTTTTTTCTTTCAAAATCGTGATACAGGTATTACCTATTTTGGTCCATTTTACACAATATAAAGGCAGCAACTGCAATCGATATGGACCGTTATAGAGTTTTTAGTTCTGTAGAAATTCAACAACTTGATTCAACAACCGACCATTGGCTAACAAAGAAGAACATTGTTTCGACTTAAACACGATGGTTTTGTTTGTATTTTTCGTGGATGTTTGATGTTTTGTAAAAAACAAATGGAAAATTAATGTATTTTATTTTCGGAGAGCCATTCCGTGGTTATTTGTGCTCCCAACCGAAAAAAAATACCACCGGAATATATTAGTGAAACCGACAGAAACAGCAAAAAATAATAATAATAATAATGCAAGTAATAATATACAAGCGCAAATCGAGTGTTGTGTAGTGAATACAAAATTAGCGCCAGAGGACGACTTGGAGGGGGGGGGGGTTAAAATATGACAACGCAAATGTAAAACTTGGAAACTTCGGCCGTAGCAATTACGAATTTCATGTGAAATTAGACAAACGAAACGACCGCCATTTGATGTGCAAATGACGATGACAGGTACACTAACTGAATCGCGGTTAATCATGAACTAAATATTGTGTTCTAATCAGACCGGGATCGATTTGCCGCCCCGAGGTCTTTTTTCGAAGTCGAATCGCTTTGAAGTCATCAATACAATTATAATGCCACGGTGCTGCATTATCTAAAAATGTGCTGTGAGACGGCTTAAAAAAAATATGTTAGAAAAAGCCAAAAGGAGACGCCAGAAGTGCTCTTGTACAGACTACAAACGAGTTCACCGGCCATTATACTATCTAAATAAGTGGGCCGTTTAGTTTTGAATAGGATTTTAAACCGAGCACGGCAGGTGTATTTTGTACCCAAGACGTTTTGCAACCCTTGCGATAGCCTTCCACTGGGTCCGGCTGTCTATCAAAGAGCACTTATCTTCCCGTTTTACGACGTACTGAGTACTGCAAACACTTGGAAACAATCGAAAGGTGTTTTTAAGTACAACATATTTCCAATAGAAGTTCGACGAAAAAATAAGTTCTGCAACTGTGCAAATACTTCACTTAAACAATCGTGTTCATTTTTAGACTCGATACGTTTGGTCTGATCGGACTTAGTTGCGGTTTAGTTGGTTTAAAAAATTTTCGCCGAGTGTACGTGGATTTAACACAATAATGGGCCCACGAAACGCCAGGTGTTCTTGCATGTATCTTGGAATAATTAGCGAACCACAATAATTATTGTTATTAGTTTATTTCCAATGTGTATTGAGCATTTTGTTTTTTAGCTATATTAAGTGTAGTTAGTATAGCTGTTCATATTTTCTTTATGGGTAGGTATTGATAGAAAACAAGCCAAATCCATTTTTTTTTCAGGAAAATTCTAGGTACGGACTTTCTCCACGCTTTTATCAATAATTCAGATGGTGCGAAAATAATGAACCGTGAGAGTTATGGCCGACAAAATATTATATAAGAGCTATTATACGGCCGTGCAAAGTCACGATGCGATTGGAATATTTTACCAGAGGCCAGTGACAACGACTGGGGTACATGCTTAAGTGTGTGTGAGGAAGGGGGGGCGGACAAGACAGAATAGTTTTCTTCGCACGTGTCGAAAAGTTATTTCCAATGAATTCTTTTGGCCCTATGGCGGCGGCGGTGACCGTTTTCTTCGTCTCCGACGGTGTGCCGGTGGAACCTTCGGGATAGCATGTCAATGTGAATACCTTTAGGCGGTCACAAAACTTTATTTCTGTTGTTTACGCCAAAAAAAACCCCAATCGTCCGGCACGACATGCAAACTGTCAGGCCGACCGACCGCATTGGGAGAAATTACCAAAGTAAAAATAAACATCTCTCGATTCTGTTGTTCATGTGTAATGTCGTATCAGTACAAAAATCTGCCAAGTGGTTCCCTTCAAAATCTCTACTCTGGCCGTATGTCGAAATCTTTATAAGGATTGCATTAAAACGGATACAAATTTTAGTTAAAATCAACGCGTTACATTTTTGTGTGTATTTGTTCGAAAATTATACCGTTTAAAATTGATCAAACATTTTCTTACTTTACAATATTGAGTACTTTGGGCATCACATTGCTCTTTTCCCTCAAATTTGTTACCTAAATATTCTACTAAAAAGTTATTTTATCCAACAGCCGACTAAGTAATTTTACTCTCCAACTAGTTCACAGCCTTTTGTGTGCGACATGTGTTGTCTTGGGTTACAATACAATTGTGTTTCAATCTTAAGCGCAATTCAACGAGAGCCTTGATTATATTGTGTAGAATCTCTCAATTTGTAAATTTTACTAATTATCATTATATGTAAGATCAAGATCCCTAGTTGAAAATGAAAAGGTTAATTTTATTTTGTGAAAAAATTACTAAACGCGAACTTTGCTCTTTTAGACATAAAGCGCAGAATTGTATTTATTTTAAATTAGTTTTATATATTGTGTCAATTTTACCACACTGCTGTTTGTTTTTTAATCGAAGCGCTAGTAAAACACTATAGTATTTTCATCCACTTTAATATCCTATCACTGAGACCATAATATATTATACAAATTTTTACTTAAGCCGTTTACCAAATATTTTGGTAAGAATTTTTTTTTCGGTTGCAATCTTTTTCGTATTTTTTTACCGTTACATACAACGGAAAAATGTTTTTTTTTTTTTTACGTTTCTGGACGGATTCCGGCTTTTTCCGAGAATGTTACATTTAAAAATGTATTATGTTTATCCGGATCAAATTTTCAAGCTAGACAGTCGTGCGTTTCTTGTCATCCTGGATTTAAGCGCTATTTATCATTGTACGTTTGTTTTTTTGTTTCTACAGAAGAGCAGTGGTTAGTTTAACAACCGAATAAGCTTTTGGCAAACACCAAAGTGTGCGGCAATCCTAAGCGTCACATAGTCGGCGAATCGTGTGCTCATACCGGTTTAAGTCATCAGCCTGTTACAATCTTATTATTTTTTTTCGACAAGATTGATTTGTGTTAATGACACTCGACCGGTGTGCCCATTCCGAGTTTTTGTAGGGTTTCATGATATTATTAAATCCCAACTAGGTATATTATAAATTAACGTTGGGCCTATAATATATGCGACACGGTGAAAACGTTATCTACGGTACGGGCGCCGGGGCGTCAGCTTAAGCCTAAAGAACGGAGATAAAACCGGACCCCGACTGCCGCCATTACGGTAATATTAATCCCGTGTCATTATCTCCACTGCGGGGGCATCAAAACGTCAATTATAAATCAACCCACCCGAAGTACGCGGTCCGAGGGTTGCGGTTTTTGTTTTATATTCCTAACGTTATTCACTTTGAAAATCCCTAGGCAAAACACCGACAAGAGTAGTACCACCACAAGAAAAACGGCAAAGGCTTATTTTATAATAACAACAAACAATAATAATACTTAATAATATATTATACCTATAATCCCTTATTGTTTACGAATGGTCGTAAACTTTTTATTATATTAAATATATTTTTTTTTTGGTCCTCGGTAATTATTGTCTTCTTTTTTCCGTCCCTAAACCACCCGTCCTTTTTTTTTTTATCACCTACACAAAACAATAACAATAATAAGTTACACCAGATGATCGGACTGTG